ACGCGGCAGGGGCGCAGCCCCCCCGCCCCTCCCCCCCAGCCCCCATCTGATTGGTGGAGTGATGCTGCTGTGACTCAGAGGCGCCGACCGTTGAGCACAGTTGATCATTTACCCACGGCTTTAATCTGAAACTGTTTTTTTTGTGTTTTTCTCCTCGACTTTTTCCACAGTCCATGCTCAGAATGGCTTCTACACATGGTTCCACTCTGTGCTGTTAGAAATGCACACACACGCTCTGCCTCCACAGGAACGGCCGCCGTGACGCTAACGTTACACTGTTTTACTCCACAGGAAGCAGAGGAAAACTGCAGCCCCTTAAAATAAAATAAAAATTTCTGTCGGCAGTAAATTTTAATTGTCCTTCGGTTCCAATAAGAGCCGACTGAGATTGATATACATATGTATATATAATTTTCCTGGGGGGGTTGGGAATGTTGGAAAAAAAAAGTGTGTGTGTTCCTGGTGTAGCTGTACTTGTAGAGACACCTTTTGTAAAAAAAAATACTATCAGGATCAGCATCAGGGTCAGATTAGAGTTGGGACGAGGATTAAGATTAGACCAACTGTATATCAGTGATAGTTAGTGGGGGGGGGGGGGGGGGGGGGGGGCTAGGAAATACTGTGAGGATCTCACAAAACACTAAATTGTGTGTGTGTGTGTGTGTTTGACAAAGACCCCGACTCTGTGTCTGGAAGTAATCATCTGGTCCAGGGCTGAGCTCCACAGCCCCCTCCCTCTGACGTAACCACAGGGTTTTTTTTGTGTGTGTTTTTTTTTGTGATGCTTCTTTTTTGCTTTTTCTTTTTCTTGCTGGGAAATCAGGGGATTTTTCCAAAAGAAACTTTTCATCATCTTCTCTCTCCCTAAGAACAAACTCAGGTCTGAAGCCGTCACCGTTGAACTGCACGCTGTTTTAGAACCAGTGAAAATCAACTCTAATCCAATCAGAGGCTGCGGTCAGTGATCCAGACTGACTGATGTCTCTGACCGCTCGGAGCCGCCGTTCTACTGCTTAAAGTCTCACACACACAGTCGTAAACTTGTGAGAATAAAGTCAGACGTTGATGACATTAAAGATTTATTTTTACATTTATACGAATATTACGATATTCCTCCAAATTTCTCGTAAACGTACGACTTTTTTCTCGTACTCTTAGTGAATTTTTAATTCTCGACGTGGTCCTATGATGATTGATAACACTTTTTATTTGAATATTTTTGCATCGACCCACAGCAAGACCTCCAGTCTCCCTGGTGGGCCACAGCCCCCGGTTTGAGAACCACTGCCACAGCTCATTAATAATAAACGACTAATTGTAACTTGCAACACTAACAACTCTAAAACTGAGATTTGAAAGAAATGCCTCAGGTCGGTGATGACCTGCTGTTCCTCCCCAGAACTGTAGGGGGTGCTGAAAACTGTTCCTCACACCTTAATGGTACCAGGAACAGTTGAAACCAGAACTTTCTCTGAACTTTAAGTTCAAATCTTCAGCCTCAGAAATAAAAGTTTTTTATGGAACCGCGTTTTGATCCCCACCAGAACTGAACGGTTCTTTGAAGAATCAGTGCCAGAAATGGACCTAACATGGTAACAAGAAGGAGCGCACACACACACACACACACACACACACCCACCCGAGGGATGGATGGGGCCGCCCCCCCGCCTCCACACACTGCTGTAACAACAATCTGAGTCTGAACATTTTTATGTGACTGTAATGTATATGTTTCACACACACACACACACACACACACCGACTGTGTGTGTGTGTGTGTGTGTGGCTCCTTTGAAGTTAACGTCAGGAGAGTATTGATCAGGTTTAACGTGTGTGTTTGAAGTTTGTCCCTCACATGTCACATGTCGTGTCCAGTCTGGTGATGTAACATGAAACCACATGACCTGATACTGGTTATTGATCTTCGACTGGTCACAATCACTGACCGCAGCGACTGAAAACACACACGTTTAAAAACGTGCTCAGAACAAAAGTGGAAGTGAAGTCTGACTTTATTCTTTGTCTTTTTTCTTTCTTTTTTTTTTGCTCTTGATTTCATTACAGCAGTTCTCTGACTAACCATGGAGGGGCACTCACTCCCCCTACTCTTTCTATGAGGAGGAGGAGGAGGAGGAGGAGGACGGTGTGGGCAGGGAGCTGTGGAAGGAGGAGAGAGGAGTGGAGCGTGTCCTGCCTCAGTCTTTGTCATGGTTGGACTCTGCTGCTCACTCTCAGAGAACCTCAGGACCATGTGACCAGGACACAAGTCCAAGTCCAAGTCCAAGGTGAGTGCCTTCAACGCCACGTTCACTCCGTCTGTACTGACAGTGATGCCCTGGGCCGCATTCCATTTCTCTGTCTCCGCTCGGTACCATCAGTACTGTGTGTGTTGTAGTAGCCGTGGGTTTAGACTAGTGTTGATTCACAGAACTGCACGTTCAGTGAAGTTTGTTTGTCCTGTGGAGTAAAGATGGTCGAGGTCTGACACAGTAGAGTTCTCTGTGGTAGGGATTTGAACCTTAGACCCTCAGACAAGACGTCGGAGGATCTACCTGCTGGTAATAACTGGAGTGGACCAGATGTTGTTGACAAATGTCACTGGTTCCACAGGAAGTGATTTGACGTGTGTGGACGTGACGGCGTCCTCTGACAGCTGTCCGTCATCTCGTCAGAAACATTTTCCCAGTGAAACAAAGTCTTTGTTTTGAAAGTTCACGTCCGTCCGTTCACGGAGCCGCAGAACCATCGCGGTCGGTCGGACCATCTGTAAGTCTTCACTCTGTTAAATTACAACCTGGTGTGTTTGTTGTACGGTCGGATGTTGACTTCAACTGCAGAAAGATGAATGGAGGTACTGCAGTAGTCACACAAAAACTACTGTTTCTTTTTGTACTGTGGTACCGGGTACTGTGATACCTGGTACTGTGATACCTGGTACTGTGGTACCTGGTACTGTGACAGTTGAACTTTAGATACATAAAAAGATGGATGAATGGTTGAGTAGATGGTAGGATGGATGGGTAGTTGGATGGAGGTAGTCCTGGGTTCGATTCCCAGAGGAACCACATACTCGGTGCCTCCAGGGGGCAGCCTTTTGCAGCAGAGTTGCTGTGAACACAAGAATTTCCCAAGTGTGGGATCAATGACGTTCAACTTATTTTTATTATTATTAAACAGCAGTGAGGAGAGAACATTTAAACCTACAGTTAATGTCCATCAGGTGACTCCCCCGTCCCTCCCCCCTCCTCCCCCTCAGATCAAAGCCACATCATCGCGGTCCGTCCGACTGTTTACATCTCCCCCTCTGTGTTTATCCCTTACACTTCCCAGCTGCACGGGATGTTTGTGTTCAAATTCCCCAGCTGTAGCGTTAGCAATGGCCGGGTTCACGGTGCGTCACCGTCCGCTACGTAGCCCGGAGAATGCATGCTGCGTATGTGCGCAGCAGAAATGCTTAGATCAAAGTGGGGCCAACGTTCGTGTTAGCGGGTCAGGACGACCAGAGTGTGGGGTCCAACTCTTGTCATTTGTGTTGTGTGTGACGCAGGTACAGCACTTGGGAGCCGGAGGAAAACATTCTGGACGCACGGTTGTTCGCAGCTTTCGAGGAGAGGTGAGGGTTTGACAGCGCACCAGCAGTAGGCCTCTCTCCCCCAGTCTCTCCCCAGTCTCTCTCTCTCCCTCAGTCTCTCCCTCTCTCTCTCTCTAGACAGCAGGGCCAGAAAACTGAGGATTAACCCTTTAGCTTTAGTTTTACGTCTGTACAGAACAGTAAACAGTCAAGTCAAGTGGATGACCCCCCACCCTCACCCTTCACCCCCACCTTCATGTCCTTCCTCACTGTACAGTTACAGATTTGGTACCTGTTCTAGTCCCGCTGACCACTGAGCCACAGCATCGACAGGAAGTTGGCTATTATTAAATATGGAGCAAATGAACAACAACGACAACTGACAAACAATAACTCAGGAGTGTGGATTACTGTCCAATCAGAGGCTGGCGTCAGTGAGGGAGGTCTGACCGTTCACTGGAATGACTTCATTTCATGTCATAATTATCCGTCCATGTGTTTATTCATCACTTATTTACTATTGAAAACACAGCACTGACCCCAGACGGGGGTCCAACCAGTGCAGCCCAGAGCTGCAGCTGCTGCTCCAGTCAGTGGGCCTGGGTCTCTGAGGGACCTGTTCGAGGCCTGGTCATGATTTTGGGGTCAAAATGTTTCACAGACTCAGATTTTATTGGTAACAGTCGGCCAGAAATAAATCCCTCCCCCCACGGATCTGTTTTCCTACTCGGTCCTAAAGGAAAGTTTTCTCTGTCCACTTGAATATGCACATCTGTAATATCCACTTGAATGGAGACATTGTTGTGTGGAGGATAAGTAGAACCACAAGGCCTGGATTCTTCTTCCTGCGATGCCTCCGTAGAGTCGGCCTCTACAATGACAGATGTTACTGCAGGTTTTTTTTTTGTCTGTTTACAAGATGTGGTGAAAATTTAAAAAAAGAGCAACAAGAAAAACAAAAAGTATTGTAATAATTTTCTAATTTGTTTTTTTTTTTTGTTCATCTTCTCAGGGAACTGACGTTCATCTGAATCCTGCTTCTTCAGACCGACTCAGAAACTGACAGTGATGAAGAGCATGATTCCTCAGAGGAGTGTAGTCTCTGCACTGGGCTACGGCTCAGGTAAGGTTTTCATCCAACTCTCCATCCATCCATCCATTCATCCATCCATCCTCTAACATCCTCTAACTGACCTGGAGTCAGTCCTAGGAGCTCCTTTGAGGATAGAGTCATATTTAGAAACAAAAAACTTTATAATTACCTGCACACCTCTGGTCAGTTTAGCCTTGGGCGCCACCTAGAGGGCCACAAAAGACTTTTAGTTACTTTTAGCCCCTGCAGGCAGTGAGGGCAGGGCAGTTAATGAACAAAAACATCAGAGAAATTCAGTGACAATCGTCTACGAGACACTACGGTGCAGTACCACGTCCTAACTCTGAGGGACGCTAGGGAGTCAGTCACACGTTCAACAGGTCCCTAACCTGTAGAAGAAGTTCTGTTTGTCCAACTTTGGTCAAAATCCAGTTTCTCTAATGATTTGATGTTGAGTCTTGGTGACTGTGGAGGTGACGTCACCGTGACCTCTGTGTTTGTTTGTTGTTCGTCCGTCCACCGTGACTCAGGCCTCACTACTGTCTCCCAGGGTTTCTCTGCTCTGTGGTCCAGACCACGGTCCAGCCCACGATGCGTGCCTGC